TTCTCAATATGTTCCCAAGCTTTAGACAAATGTTCATAAAATCAGGGAATCATTTCCAAGAAGGTAGACAGAATGAAAATAAATATATCTTTGTCACCTTTAGCTACTTTTTGGATAAACACACATTGTACATGTACTCCACCTTCCGAATGTGTGAGCAGCTGTTTTTAATTAATTGAATAAAATGATTTTCCATAGGCCTTCTTCAACCTGTGATCTTGCAATTCAGATAATATTTACAGTTTGCTACTTTTGACTTATCTGCTAACTTCCCCATGCCTTGTAGGTAATTATGTAATTAATTACTACAAAAACTTTAAAGATTTGGCCATTTTTTTCATAACTTCGGTGGAAGTGTTTCTTTTATCTTAAAGGAAAAAATACAGAAGAGTACTACCATTTGTTAGAACAGTTTAGCGCAACCCAACACTGAAGAAAGGTGTCAACTTACCATATGACTGGGGGCTTCTAATCCATATTGCATGAATGTATTTTAGACCACCCATTGTTTTCAGAAATATGAAAATACCTTTATACTAAATTGAGTAAATGTGTCCATCTGGAACCACATTTGCTTGTGTGCACACCCTTCAATTCTCATTTGTACGTGCATATGTGCAAAATGTTTTTAAATGATATTTTTAAGAAATTAGCATTCTGATTATAGCATATGGGGTCCTTTATCTAACAGGATATCCTAAACATTCATTACATGACTAAAATGTTCAGAATATTGAAAGAAATAGACTTAAATGGAAATACAACGCATGATATATTATAGCTTCATGAGAAAAATAAAGCCACCATAAACTAATGATGGGGATATTGTCAGCATATTTAAATAGTTCCTTCCCACCAGAGCGCAACCAGCTCTGTGGTTATAATCAAATGAAGATTCAATGAAAATTACTGGAATTATTCCATTCGTGGTAGGGGGGATTAGAGAGATGGGTGAGTACAGGGTGGATTTATCATTACCTTACAAAGTTTCTTTGATGGTATTATCTAACAAATTACTAGCTATGGCAAAATGTTAGGTTATTTGCATATGTTTTAGTGTTTTATTGGGGTGGAGGAGGGGACAGCATTGGCGAAAAATGGCTCTACTATTCCCCGAGATCCAATGCTGCGAGTCAACTGCTTTCATTTCTCTTCCCTATTTGACTGTAAGTTTCTCAAGGGCAGCAACTCTATCCACACCCTCAGAGCCTAGCACAGTGGCCAGTGTGAACAGGTGGGAAGACCATTAGCAGGATAAGGAAACTGGGACAAGAATCCTAACAGCACAGCTCTGGCTGCCATAGAAAATGGAATTGGTGGACGGTGGGCAAGAGAAGAGTCACAACAGTGAGCTTTGCTAGGGACATCTGCAGCTCATGATGAGCAACTGAGTAATTAGGACACAAGGAAAAGCAATGTTGTAGGCTGCTACAAATAAACTGGGAGATAGGTTAAAAAACAAAAAAAACTGGCCGGCACAATTATCATATGCACTTATGAAAAAAGAAGGTATTGTACAAAATATAATTATGTGATGAATCATTTGGAGGCATTTCTAATGAAAAACACCCACTAGAAAGGATTAACCAGGAGTTGTGTCCATTGTCTGATACAGAGTTTGTTGCTCTCCTTGGCTTCTTTCTAAGCCTCCATAAATCCACGGGAAGCCTCTGTTTATCGATTTTATTTGCAGAATGCACTGAGGGTATAAAGTAATTTGATTTTTTTTAAATGGGGTTTAGGGTCTGCCCCTACAGGGTTATAACTTACCAAGCATAAAAGCCAACACATAAAAACAAACATACAATTTAAAGCGAGAAGGGCTCAGGGCGGCAGAACCTGGGAATTCGGCGAGGTGGTGGGATTACTCCCGGGCGCACCCACACGCCCATATATCTGCTGGGCTGAAATCTCCTGGTGGGTGATATTTTGGATGTCTTTCATGCATGGCATCGCTGAACTGTTTTTGAAAAATGCACCAACCCCACAGAGAAGAGCACAATAGTTATTTAGCAAACATGGAGAGGGAAAGGAGGATTTTCTTTATTGTTTATCAGAGCTAAAAATAATGCCGTGAAGGTTAGCCATCTTCGCAGCTTGTGTAAAATTTGTCCTTTGCTCATCAAAGTCAGCAGCCCGGACTGATCAATGCCATTAACGCTGTCCCTGATCAGCTCCCCACGCATGCGCGAGCTCCGCGGCTTGCAGGCTGTAATCCGAAGCACAGCACCTTGTGCTTTTATACTTCTTTTGCCGAGAATCTTCTTTTTTTTTTTTCAATTTTAAACAATTGTGGGTAATTAAATTTTATAGAAGAATTTTTTCTTTACCTACCCCATTAGGATTCTGTTGCACTTGTCCATCGCCTCATAAAAGGGAAAATTAAAAAAAAAAAAAAAAACAAAAAAAAAACCACAAGCTGCTGCATCTGTGCCTTAACCGCTTTGTGTGGATTCTCGGCTCTGTGATTCACAGTATGCGTTTGTGACAAGAAATCTTTGTCCTTGGGATCATAAATGCCGAGGAGGGTAAGCAAGGCAAGCAGAAGGATGCCGTATGTGGGGACAGTGATGCAGAGAGCCGGTGAAGGGCTGACCTTTCCGCCTCAGCTCAAGGTAGATAATGAACGGCCTTTGTGAGATGTTTTGGTGATTGCATAACCATGACAGTCGTGGACCCTGAGCACAGAAAAGTGCGGACTTGGCTGTGCAGTGTAATAGCCACAACTTCAAAAGGGGCAGGGGAGCTGTGAGCTGCTGGGGACACCAGTGGTACACCTGGCAGCCAGCAATCAGAATCCTTTGAAATGGAGTCTTAAAGGCAGAGCATCAAAGAGCATCGTCAGCCTCTGCAAATAGTTACTGTGGCTGCAAACGAAAGGGCAGTCTTAGCCTGTTGGGAATGGGCCAGTGGGCAATCTCTTTGGTGACATCTACACTAATGGAAAAATATCACCACCCATAACAGCATCTTTGAAATAGATGCAAGGATACCTCTGGGCATCAGACACAAAGCAAAGCTGTGACTTCTCACTGGGAAGGGTCTTACCTGACCCCATCTATCATTCAAAACGTTTCAGTCCAGAGCTCTAAAATCATAGTGCTGATCCCAGTAAGTCTATAATCACCTCTGGGTTAACACCCCACACCTCAGCTTCTGTTCAGCTTTGTGGAGCAGGCAGACACCAGCAGACACGATGTGGGATAACAATGTAAGCTAACGCTCCTGACAGCTCGCCGTGTGCCGAGCACAGGGCCAAAAGCGGGACGTGCAGTGTCTTGTCTGATCCTCCCAGAGATTCTGGGAGCTAGGTGCTATAATTCTCCCCATTTCATAGATGAGGATACGGAGGCTTCGAAAAGGTAATTAATGTGCCCCAAATTACCCAGCATCCGTGTGCTGGAACCAACAGCGCCTTAACCATTGCCTTTTATCTCCATAAGCAACTTAAAATTGCTTCATGAAGTCATAAACTCATATTTTTCAGTGGAAAATATTTTTCTGAAAAAGTGCTTTCTCAAATTTAGCTGTGGGGATAATATTTTTGAAAGTAATACTTATACATTTTGAACATATTACCATTTATAAATTAAGACATTAAGTTCCTTGGAAGCTAGAGTTTGGAATGGGATTGACCATCAATTTCTACCATGGATGCTACAGTCCTGGGACACATAATTCAAATGTGGCTATGACACATGGCAGAGGGCTATGCTAACAAATAAGCTACGGAGAACTAGGCTGTGTAGGGACTTCCCAACAAAAGCCGGGTCTGAAGAAACAGAGGCCGTGTAGTGGGCTGGTCCTGAGGTCCAAAGAATTTCTGTAAGACAGCGTTTCTCAGAACCACACCTGGGGTCCTTTCTAAATACGCATTCCTTGGATTTGAGCTTAGGAATCTACATTTTAACAATCTGCCTACATGATTTTATAAACAGTAAAGTTTGAGAACTTTCAATCCAGATTAACTAATTCCGTTTATGCCAGAGATTGGAAAAATGCTACAAGGACTAGTAATATTCAAGACAAGGGAAAAAAGACATGATCTCTGTAAGTCTCTATAGAAACTGACACATCCCAGCTTTCACAGACAACCAGAACCACTGCACCGACACAGTGTTTCTATATAAACAGAGTCACAAGGGATTTGAGCAGCCCTGGGACAGTCATGCTATGTTAAAAAAATGTCTCTTCCACACAGTTTCTGAAACGTCGTGATTAGAGATGTCAGTGTTTGGGTGACTATATTTTCAGCAATGTCTTCTTCCTTTCCAGCTCTTCCTTCTGGCCTTCTTTGAAAATAAAAGTAATTGCAACAGGAAAAATTAATTAAGTTGCTATTATTTTAGCATAAATTGTGTTATCTATAAAAAAGGCAGGGTTTAACAGAATACTAGTAATAACTAACTTTTTGAATGTATTATGTCATCTTGCTTTCAATAAAACATACGACACAGTTGCTGTCATCTTTGTTTTACACCTGCAGGGGCTGAGGTCTAGTGTCTTGCCCAAGACCACGCAGACAATAATCAGCACAGCCATTCGTTCATTTATTCAACAAAGATGTATCATGTATGGAGTGTCTAGTGTATGCCAGCCACTGTTCCAGGTGCTGGAATAAAACAGATCATGTTCCTGCTCTCAGGGAATTCCATTCTAATCACCGATCCAAGAGGATGCTAAGTAAGAGGACACCTGGCCAAAAATCTAGGTGATACCACAACTATATCAAAACCCCCTCAACAGTATTGGTGGCCCCTTCCAGCCTCAATCTTCCTGGCTCCACTTGTTCAATTCAGGGCATAACAGGACTCTGGGAACGTGGGAGAGAGCACGGTGCTGAAAGTAGGAAAAGGGAATCTAAGAAAAAAGGACGTGGATGGAGAAAAATAAATTAACCTCACAACCAAAACTGCTTCACTAATTCAATAGTTGTCTTGGTTTCTGGCTGGCGTGGCCCCGGGTGACACTTCCTTTCCTTTTCCTGCCCCCTCCTGCAGCAGCAGCATTGGCGTGTTCTTCTGTGGACCCAAAGCGCTCTCCAAGACACTTCAAAGGATGTGCCACTTATATTCGTCAGCTGACCCCAGGGGTGTTCATTTCTATTACAACAAGGAAAGCTTCTAGAGTTTGGAGGTAAGTCCACGTGTTGCACAAGGTCAGGGGTCGGGTATCGTCTCAGTTGCAACTACTCAACTGCACCATCATCGTGCACCAAAGTCGCCACACACAATGACTGAATAGGCATGGTTGTGCTCCAACAAAATTTTATTTATTGACCCTGAACTCAAATTTCTTAGAATTTTCTTACATCACAAAATATTTTTTAACTTTTTTCAACAATTTAAAGATTCAAAAGTCATTCTTAGCTCCTGGGCCATCTAAAAACACGTGGTGGGCTAGATTTGCCCTGTGGCATATAGCTTTCTGACCCCTGATATAGGTCATCTTTTCTAAACTTGTTTTCATGCCTGACGTTCCATCCAATGTGGAGAATCATCTTGTGGCTTGGCCTGAAGTCTCCCTTAGAAATTATTTGACGTTTTCATTACCCTGATGGCAGAGACACGTGCCTTACACCCAAACGTGATCTTTTCTGCTTTAAACTTAAGCTCCTTTGTGCTTTTGTTGATCTGCTACAGACCAGAGAAATTAGCAACAGAGGTCATCTTTCACAAAAGTCCTTTACATACTTGAAAGGATAATGAAATCATCCCTTAACATCCCCTTTGTAGTCCAAACAATACTAAATTCTTAACCTTTTGGCCTAGGATATATATTCAAGTGCTTCAATCATTCTTGTTGCTCTTTTTCAAATTCACTTCCATTTCTTCACATCCTTTAAAAATACATTGACCAAAATGAGACATGATGTTCTAATAGAAGCATGACTAGTATCAGGCAAAAGAATGTCTTTTTTAGATCTTATATGCCATGTACGTACAACTAGATTCTATGTTTGTCTCTCTCTCTCTTTCTTTCTTTTCTTTCTTCCTTTCCTTCCATCTTTCCTTTATTCCTCCCTTCCTTCCTTCTTTCCGTATTTCTTTCTTACTCTCTTTTAACAAATACTTTTTATTACTACCACATTTTGGTCTGTGGTCATCTTTGACACTTACACCCCTACTCAACTTCTGCCCCACAAAATAACTTGGAATTTTTTTTTTATTTCAAATTCCCATTGAGCCAGTCTTCCCATATCATGCAGCTGTTTTACCCCAAAGTGTTCCCAAAGCAGTCCTCACAACTTAAAGTTTTCTCTACTAGTATTGGTTAATTATTTGGAATTTTTATTTATAGCATTTCAAGATTGCTTTGAAGTTTAGCCCTGAATACCAACACTAGTATGTATAATAACTTAGTAATAGCTGCAGATTTAATAAGTGATATCGCAAATCTTTTGCTTAGGTTTTCAATCAAGTCATTGACCCTGAAGGACTCCACCAGGAATTCCTGTGACTGCCTGTTAACATGAGCATCCAGTTGGGCACCAGTGAATGATAACTAACCATTGAGAACAGCACACCACACCACGCTTTGTTAGCTTATAAATAACATGCCATATGCAATAGAACAAAAACATTTACTGAAATTAAAATGCATTATGTTTTTCAAATGCTTCTTATCTTTGTGGATTGTCATTCTGCCATAAAAGAGAATTAAATTAGTCTGACATGATGTGTTTTTACAAAGTCAGGCAGCCTCTTATGCTCTTCCAAGTATTTCTAAATTATAAGTTGACCATTTCTTTTACTTTATTCTCAGATATTCGTGTTAATTCTATGATTCCTGTGATATTGATGTTGATTCTCTAAGTTAGGTATATCCCATGATGTCTCAAAAATGATTTCTACTAACTCTGCACTACATATTTCTTAGTATCTTTAAGTATTACTTGATGCATATAATTCAAACTCTACTAATTTTAATAGACATAGTCTTTCTATGTAATTATTTCTCCATTTAAGTTTGATTCAGTCTTTGCAACTAGAAATTTATGCAGTCAAATGTAATCTTTACTTTAGCAGGCAAATTAAATGCATTAAATTTTTTTCTCTTGGTTGTATTTAATTATTACTTTTTCCCTCTGCCTATTTGAAAATAAAATGTACTTTTTGATCATCTAATTTTGTTTAATAAGTTAGAATATGCCTGTCCTTAAACACAAATTTTGCCATACTTTTTTTTTTAACCTCTGGAGATGCTGTTTGCATTTTCTTTTTGTTTTGACCTTCACACTACTTCCCTACATACTGTATAGAATCTAACCTATCCAGATGGGAAAAAATACAAAAATCAGTAGATTTCTTTAATGCAGCAACAACCAAATAGAAAATGTGGATTTTTTTTAAAAGAAAGGAAATAGTCTATTCAAAATAGAAAAATACAGCAAACCTATAAATTCATTTAACAAGAATTATACAACATGGTTTGATAAATGAACAAACATTTAGCGAGACATTTTTAAATAACTAAAAATAGCATGTTCCTATATGGGAATATTGACTATTACTAAAGATATCAATCGGCTACATTCCTGGATATTCACTGGGGCACAAATGTAGAAAGCAAAACTGATAAGAGAAATGTAGATTTTAATTGAAGAGAAGAAAGTGAAGCATTTTCCATGGTTGACAACAGAAATGCTTAGGTTGTTTTCAGTTGGCACTTTTCATTGAGTTTATTTCTTCCTATCATCACTGTGAGATTTAATTTAAAACATAAAGAAATTTTACTGCCAGAAAGGTTTACAGAAATTGTTTATAAAATACCTTGAGATATTCCAGGCTGTTGTCATAATTGGATGAATAGAAAAAGAGAATAAATTAAAAAGAAATATACATTCCATCCACAAAAGAAAAAATTTGTTCCAAATTAATTAATAGGTTAAATACAATTCCAATCAAATTTTAATTCTCTTTAAATTTTTTGAAAGGGTAGATATTCAAAAGTTCCTCTAGGAGAATACATGACAAAGAGAGATGCAAAAAAAATGTGAAAAAGAAAATAAAGGAAACAAAGGGAAAAAAGGGAAGAAGAAAGGAGAGAAGAGAAAGAAGGGAAAAAGAAGAGAAGAGAAAGAATAAAAAAAGAAAAGAATAGAAAGAAAGGGAAAGGCACCCATAACCCTAGCAGTCTGGGAGGCCCAGGTGGGAGAATCACTGGATCCCAGGAGTTGGAGGTTGCAGTGAGCTATGATGACACTACTGCACTCTACCCAGCTGACAGAGGGAGACTCTGTCTCAAAAGAAAAAGGGAAGGGAAGCAAAAGGGGGAAAAGGAAAAGAAAGGGAAATTCTCTATCCAGAAGCATCACCTGTCATGAAGTAGGGGATCTTAAAGCAGCCAGAAATGAACAACAGTAAGTCTGACAGCTGCCTTCTCAAAAGCATCCACAGAGACCAGATGATAATGAAATAATATCTTCGGAGTGCAGAGAGAACATTAACTATCAATTGAGAATTTTGTCCTCAGTGAAATTATTATTCCAAAAGTGAAGGCAAAATATAGATATCTCCGAACAAAAGAAGACTGAAATTTACCTACCTCACTGAAATAACTAAAAGGATATGTTTAGAGAAGGAGGAAAGTCAATTAATGGCATGCAATAAGCAGTGATGAGCAAAGAGATTGAAAAATGTTTTGTCAAAATCTCTAAGAGTCGCCTGTAAAAGAAGATGAATGATTGATTATTTCAGAGGGAATTTTTTTTCTAAGTAAAACTAAAATACTGGGCAACAATAACATGAAAAGATGGGGGAATTAATGGGAATTAAGACATTCCAAAGTCCATATATTGTTCAGGAGGATGAAAGAAATGTTGATTAAATGTAGCCTTTATAAAATTGTATAAGTAAATTAACAAGGATAACCTTGAATGAATTCACTGCTTACCACCATTTCTTTTAACATAATTTCTCTATTCTTTTTTACTGAGCCTAAGCTGCTAATCTGTTTGATTGTCAGGCAATATGTTTTAAGCAGGGCTCATGAGTGTTATATTCCCTGATTTAATTCATATTTGAGAATGTCAGCCTGTTGCTTTTTTACTCAACTCATATTTCACTGAATATAATGTTCTTGGAGCATATTTTCTTCCCCTCAGAAATTTGAAGACATTACTCCAGTGTTTTATGAATGTTACCGTGGTGAAGTCTGAGGCCAACTTCATCCTCCCTTTGTAAGTAAATTACCTCTTTTTGCCTGGATGCCTAAATAACTCTATCTTCGAAGTTCATAACTTTTGGGTATTGAATATTTCACAGGAATTTTTCCTGTATTACAGAGTATTTTTCGAGCAACATTTTTTCTTGATTTCAGAAGAAATGTTTTGCATTAGGTGTTTTACTATACTTCTATTTCCTTTGTTTGTCTCATTTCAGAGACATCAATTATCCTTATATTGGATAATTTTTTTTCCACTCTGTTAGTTTTTCTAATTACTTTAAACTCTTTGTCTCTTTTATTTACATATGATTTCCTCTGTTTTATTACTGGCCCACATTCTCTTTCTGAAACCCTCACAGTGAGATATGTTTTGGAATTCAAAATAATTTCATATTTTAGAAAATAACAAATGCATATTCCATATATTTCATGATACTCCCAGTAGAATCTAGGCAGCATCTACTACTCAGAAGCATTAATGTTTTGTCATATAAAACTATAAATGTAAGTATTCAAATTAAGTTGGATTATAAAAACAAAGATTGTAAATAACCTTATATGTGTTCAGGACACATTATACTGCCAAGTGGGTATGAAAAAAAAAAAAACAACTCTCAGTCTTCATAGTTTTTTAGATTTTGGAATTTTAGATTAGAGAAGGATTATAGACTTGGAATTCATCTTGGAATTTCAGTGATGTCTATTCTGTTCCTTACTGTTTAAAAACTTTTAAATTTGTTCTGTAAAGATGTTGCTTTGAGCCTTTGTTGTCTTAGACCTGAAATATCCCCATTATCTCATTCTGTTTTTCTTATAATTTTTTCTTTTATCTCTCTTATTAAATTAATATTCTCATTACATTCTCCATAACATGAATAAATAGTAAGGAATTACCTGAGACATGATTTCTTCTAGGTTGAGTTTTTTTTCCTTTTCCTTTTTATTTTTCTATATTACCT